TTTTTATATAAAAGTTCATACAACCTTAACCGAAGTTATTCTTTCTGCCTCTTATAAACGGCACAGAGCTATCATTCATTCATACAAACATCACCAGATGTATTTTATTTACAAATAAGTTGCTACAGTGTAGCCAACAATGAGACAGTCCCGGTGGACAGTTGCCAGCTGGTTATTCAAATATTTATAATAATTCCTTGAACACGTCGTCTGCTCACCGTTTGTACACTAATTTGCAAGCTTTATCAAACGCTGTTGCCATGAATACAAGTAAACTGGTTTATCGTTAATCGGGGATTACCGTGGCCTCTTTGGTTTTCTTTGAATCTTCCAAAGGAGCTGAAGGAGCCCGCGTTGAATAAGAAACGAGGCTGCGGACCTGGTTCAATGCGCTTTGCATGTTAATAATTAACCGGGACGCCGGTAAATCGTGAAACCTGCTGGACCGCCGCGGCGCGTCCCAAGCGAAATCTTCAGAGATTCGCATAATCAGAGAATCGAGAAGCTGAAGAGGAGGAGCTCGTCACGTTTCACCGGCGTTTGTTAGAAATTCGAATGAAACAAAATGAGAGATCGTACAGCGACGGGTTTAACGAGGAACGAATCCATTTACGAAATATCATCTGTCGCGACTAATTACTAGTGACTACCACTTGGTAATCAGCTTTCTCAGCGTAACATCAGCTGCTGTTATGAAACACGATAAACATTATCGTGATTACCTTAATACTTCGTTAATTAACGCCTGCCTCGTTTAAATCCCTCGGGTGTTCTTTCTCGACGTTTCAAGTCAAAGTCGCTGAGAAAAATTCGAATAATTAAAGTGTAGGATTGTAATCTTGTCGGGGCAAATTGGGTAACGTTGCGAAATTATGTTCGACGAAATTTATGTGCGAGGATGTTCCTGAAAATTAACTCGAATTTGTTGCCCGATATGGATTTGTTTAATTGGATTATTCAATTGGATGAAGCAAGTCGTCGTTTACATCCAAAACGAATTCATACATTTAACAATGATATACAG